TCTGTCTATGCTCCTGTTCTGTTCTGTTCTGTGTGTTTAATTAATGTTTACCCCTCAGCAATGTCGCAATAAATTATTGATCTCCATGATGGCCTGACCTGCCGTCCATTCCCTCCAATCCCTCCCGTCCACTTGGCCCGCATGCGAAATGACAATTTGAGTTATTAGTGCCACATTCATATATCACGATTGTGTCTCTGGGAATGGATTGGCATTTTAATTGCCACCGACATTTTCAAGTGCCGTTTAACGTTGATCCCAGCTAAATGGTTTCTTGATTTAGACGGATTCTGATGGAGGTGTGTACTATAAATGCATTTGTAACTAGCACAACATCAATATTAGACTTTTTGCCTCTCACAAATTTGAAATTGAATAGGGAAAATGATGGTTTACGTATAGTTGACATGGATCTAGAATTGATTGCTTTTGCTCTTTTCCTTGCAAACGTTGCATTTTTAATAATTTTTGGAGTGACAATGGCAATATGACTCTCACAGCTCTTCTTTTGATACATTTTTAATTAACTTGGCAAGTTGACACACAGGCTGGCTATAAATCTCGAAACGATTATTCCTTTGTGCTGTCCAAAAAATTACCAAGTCATTCCTCCCTTCCCCCAAAAACTTTGTCCCCGCAGTGATTTGGCATGCATTCAAAAAGTTTTGCACGATACAAAAGCATTTTGTTCTGCCTGCCAACTGACATTGAAAAAGAAGCATATAACGGATGGCAATCAACGCTGCAATTATGTAAGTGTATGCATTTGTGTGAGTCTGTGCTTGTGTGCAGAATGCGAGAGTGTGTGTGCTGTCGCCTGTATATTGAACTTGTCGGTGACCTTAGCCTCCTTTTTAGCCGCATTTCAGTTGCTTAGTCATTTTGGCACTACAAATACGGGTTGAATTCAATAAGTAGAAAGGTACATTAAAAAAAAAAAAAAACAGAATAGACAGAACTGTTTCAATTTATATACAAATTTGATGGTTAGGATGTTTTGGATTTTAGTTGCACGAAGGACTATAATATAAAGAGATTTTAAAATATTCCGAAATATTCTTAACTTATAATCTTTTCAATACATACAAAATACATCCATCGTTTGTTAAGTTTCACTGTAACTAGAAAGTAGTGTATGGCAAATGTGTTGCATATTTTTAGGCCCACCGAACCCCCATTCTCCATGGCTCGCTGCAGCCCTCGTTCATGGCCACATCAGCGGCAGCTTTGGATTTAGCTTTAGCTTTAGCTATAGCTTTCGCTATAGCTCTACCATCGGCAGCCGCTTCAAAGTCGCGTTCAACGTCAAGTGGCCCACTCGGCATTCCACTTGAAGCGTAATGAAAGCATTTTTGCCACTAACACATGTGAAGAGCCAGCCTGATGGAGCGAAGGAGGGCGAGGGGATGAGGATGTGCGAATGAAACAGAAACAGTGTGAGGGAGCGGGATAGAAAGACAAGGACAGACAAGCACTTGCTTAGCCTTAGTGTGTGCGACATCATCAGATTGACACTTGTCAGAACCATTTCTGTCTACACTACAGCAAAATGAGGCCCAAAGGCACCAAACCGAAAAGAGAAGGAAAATTAAAGGAAAGGAGGTCCGAAATAAGAAGAAATTACCCAAATCCCCCTCAGTCGCTCGGCTCCAACTCGATTACACAAAGTTCGAGATCTGTAATTCCATTAAGATTTCTGTCTCATTGCACAGCAGTGTCAAGTTCATTTGTTTCCACAGGACTCGGCAGGTTGTGCGCCACCTGGCTGCCCAAGAACAATAAAACACATTAACACCTATTAGAGGGCTGCAGGCGGTGAAGGGGGAGTGAAAGGGTCCTGGCCATTGTGCAAATGGGAACATAAATAAAGGCGACTGTCTGCCAAGTTATGAATAATAATGACAACAACAATGAAAGCAACACAGAGAGAACAGGAAAGCCAAGCTTAACTGCTTTAACTAGGCACAAATGTGGTCAGAACTATAGGTTCTTACATAACGCAATGGAAGATAATTACTACAGCAGATTAGACCAACAAAAAACCATAATTTATTGGTTAAATTAATTGATATTTAGCTTAATTTGTTTAAGCCTTGCTTATGTTGCTATAATCTTGACCGCATTTGTATGTTTGCCTTCATGTGTGCCATGGTAATTAAGGATTTGGTCTTTGCCAAGGCAGTCCAGTTAAAATGGTCCGCCGCTTTGGGCCATTTTTATGGTCATTGTGCAATGGAATGGAAGGACTAAAGAGAAAAAAAGCGGAGACCTGCCGAGACAAAAACCACACCTGCCTTTTTACCTGGCTCTGAGGTGGGGAAACAGCAAACAGGACATGGCCGCAGATAAGACCACGTCTTAGTGTGTATGTGTGTGTGTGTGAGTGTATGTGTTAACAAATCTCTGCGCTAATTAAAAGCCATTAGAGTGTGGTATAATTGCATTAAAACGTAATGTTTTTTCCCTCAGTTAACTCACATACAAATCCGTTAGAACTTTAATTTGATCTAAAGCGATAATAAAACGTTATCTCATTAAACTTTTTTTTTTTTTTTTTCCTTTCAGGTAAGCAACTAGCGGACATAAAAGTGAATTGCCAGCAAAGGTGTAAGTAAAAAACACTCGGACTCCGGCAGTTCTAATGCAAATCCCACTAATGAACCCGGTCGAAATGTTCAAAAGAACATTTTGTTGGCACATGAATATTTTAGAAGTCAGTTTCATTAGCACTTAAGCCGCTCGAGCTGTGTGTCCTGTGTCTCCGTGCTGCGGTTACCATCAAATATTAATCTGTTCGAGCCGCATTACGGATGCAAATGCAAAGCGAATGAATAAATAATCGTCGAGTGTGCGAATTATTAGAGGGAATTCGGCGCACTAAGTGTTTGCCCGAGTTTGTTTGCTGGGGAACTCGATCGAATCGCCGTTTGCTTCTTCATAAATTTCGCCTCATGAAATATGCAAGCGCCAAGCTGGCATGAAAATGGCGGAGCTTCCGCCGCTGCAGCCGCTCATCCTGTCCTCGCCTGTCCTCCCCAGTCCTCCCCAGTCCTCTCCAGTCCCGCCCAGTCCTGCCTTATCCTATTATCTCTGGCCAAGTTCTTTTTTAAAATCTCCCCCTTTGGATGGCGCCCTCCGACTCCGACGTCCCCCTGCTGTTTTGTTTAAATTGTCAGTTTGCACGCAAAACGCCGTAGTTCCGGCCAGTGTTCATTTCGCTGACTTGGCCTGCAAATTACAGCCAACTTTTGTTCCCGCCCCTCTGTACAGTATCCTCTGGCGATTTAAGCCCGCTGAATATATCCGTTCGCTGCGAATATTTCACAGACATTTTTTAATAAACTTGGCTAGTTGGCGGGCTGATTTGATGGTATTGGATGATTGCCATACTTGTTTATCTACGTTTTTTTTTTTCGCCTGTACACAGAGATTGAAATTTATTGACTGCTTTTTGACCTCTATGATTTAATTCTAGTTTTTACTCGAGATAAGTTATTTGCATATTCTTTATACGCATTTTAATATTGAATGGGAAAGTACTTTGAACTAACAAATTTGATTGTAATTGCCAATGACTTTTACTGGAGTGTTTTTAGATTGCCCAGTTTAACAGAGAAGATTTTTTTATAGGGCAAACAAGTAAAAAATAAAATATTCTGTTGAATGTTTTCAGATAGATTATTTTTTATTTTACAAGTTTTTACATGTCGACTATTGAATTATTGACCATTATTCTTTGCGTGAACTTTAAATTATTAACTAGCCCCACGCTGACTTTTGATTGCATTTGTATTGAATTGTTTTTTGTTACTTGATATAGCATACATAGTGTGTTTCCTTTGAAATACAATTTTGTATTACAATTTTAAATAAATAATGAAGAAACTGTACAAAATTTATAAACTCTCCTACTGAATTGAATTGAAGAGAAATGAAAGTATTCATATTACGCATCCGCCACGTGTCTTCCATATTTTGAGCCACATCAAAGTGTCAAGCATCCTGGCTTCAATCTTCCGCCACTAAGGCACGCAGGAAGGACCCCCCACAACACTTTATTATTTACTGCCGTAGTCATTTTAATGGCAAAAAGCCAGGCAATAAGAATAACGAACACAGCACGATAATCATATTTATTAACATTTTAACTTAATCAGCATGGGGCCGAATGCCTTTTGATGTACGCGCGATGGGAATGAAAAGGTGGCCCCGAGAAAACATCCTAATCAGTCAGGTGTTGTCAAGTCAGAAGGAGCGAGTCGCCAAGTAACAAACAAACATCTTAATTCAAATTTTATTCAGCTTCCACCGAGCAGAATGCAATATTTTCGCCCCAACATGTGTTGGCAATTTTCTTTTTCGTTTCGTTTTTCATCAGCAGCAATCTGGTTTGTCATGCTGTCCTGACATCAGCTTTGTCTGAGTTTTCGTTTGAAATTCACAGATAAGAAAGTTTGTGAATGTTATGAGGACTTAAAGGGAACGATAGCGAAGCTTCCAGCAAAGACATCCATCATTTTGTGGCATCCTCAGTAAAACTGCAGCTGCTTTGAGCGAGACGAGCACTAAACGTATGAAACATTTTCATTTAATTGAAACAAATGCGTGCTGCGTATCAATTGAAGCAAATGTGTGGATGTGGCTTTTCGGAATAGGACAACTAAAGAGCAATAAAAACTAAATGGCAACCAGATGGGTTGAGCTTGTGTGGGTGTTGCTAGCACCATTTACTATATAGTACACTGGTAAACTGAGCGACAGAGATGGCAATCGCTTCAGGTGCCGTCAATGGGGCCACAAAAAAAAGCGAAATACAAATAAATAAACGAGCGGGCGATCGCATGAAAAAGCGGTCTATTTGCCACCCTAGATGTGGTGCCAAGTGATATTAAAATCCATGTAAATTACACACAATCATCGTTGTGCTTACGTCGCATGTGTGCTGGCTGGCCTGCCATAAACTGACACCAAACACGAGCATTCCGCCAGACCTTTTATGGCCTGACCGCAACGCCAACGTTTGACACACTCGTTACAATAGATACGGATACAGATACAGATACAGATACAAATACGTAGATATATGTAGTAGGATGTTTACCTACAATACCCACTGTACCACATGTAGTAGGATGTTTACCTACAAGACCCACTGTACTATAGAATAAGAGTTACAGTTAAAGTCCAGAGATGTATAACCATCTCTCCCGCTCTCATAGAATAGAATATAATAGAATAAGTAAATGATCATGTATTGCGAGCTCGCTCACGCGGCTGAACGAGGAGAAGAAGGAAGAGAATAAAAAGGCATTCAATGTCAGACAATTAAGAAGAGCAGTCGCATATTTGGAATAAAAAGTGATTAAAGAAATACAACAAAAGTCTTACTGTTACAACATCAGAAGTGGGATGAGAAGGAAGAGAATAAAAAGGCATTCAATGTCAGACAATTAAGAAGAGCAGTCGCATATTTGGAATAAAAAGTGATTAAAGAAATACAACAAAAGTCTTACTGTTACATATAGTACGCCAGATAATGCCAGCGACGTGCTCTTCGAAGTACAAGTGCACCTGTCGCACGGATACTATATTGCCGTGTTTGCCATAATCATAGATTAAAGGATGCCGTAATGGAGAATAAAGTATAACCAAATGGCATACATGGCACGATTGGCCCAAACAAATAGCCATTAACACACAGTGTAGTTTTGAAAACCCTTTCTTGAGCTCCTGTTTATTTAGTTTTCCTGTTTAGTTTTGGTAGCCACCGGAAAAGGGTTGGTTGTACTGCGGCTGTTTGTTGAGATTGCTGTTGCTGCTGCCCGTCTGGGTGTACCAAATGCTCTGGGGTTTCTGGGCTGAGATCACCCCGGATTCCCCGGCAGGACCTCGGGGACCCCGAGGACCGGGTGGTCCAGCGGGACCACGTGGTCCAGGTGGACCGGGTGGACCTGGAGGACCGGGCACGGGAACTGGAATGTAGGCAGTGGGTGGCATAGGTTCCTCCTTCTCAGCAGCATCGGTTTCACTGCCAAGATTCGTAGGTAATAAGTTCAAACCAGGCCAATTAAATCCCGACTGTCCCTGGACATTGAAACCCAGTTGGACTCGGGGAACCACCACATAGGACAACCCATTTCCTTGATTTTGGTTAAGTCCATTCTTGCTGGAGATGAGTTGAGGAGCAAAGGAAACGGGATACGCGGCCACCTGGGGAACCACGTACTTCACATTCTTGTCATTGACCATGGGAATGGCATTCGAGTAGAGATAGTCGGGCACTTTGCGACTGTCCTTATCCGGTTCCGAATCCGCAACTTCCTCCCTGATCTGCGGCTCATGGAAAGTAGGTTCCTGATCATCGGATCTGGCCATGGATTCACTTGGCGAGTAGATCACAATTTGAGGACCAATTGGCTCGTCCACATCCACATCCAAAGCACTACGTCCGGATCCAACAACCCTGCGGATGTTGGGAATTCGCGCTTGAATACCGCAAATTAGGCCCAAGATTACTGGAAATATAATGAAAAGTTAACTTCTTGGTTGAAACCTTTAGATATCTCTCCTTTCTTACACAATATTTGCGCTCTTCGATTCATGTTTGTCGACTGTTGGTTGTTTGAATTCCGCTTCCCACTTTTATACCCAAGTCTTTGACTATGATAAGATCTGCGGAAAGGTTCTTGGTAATGGCCAGGTTCACTCAACCTGTTGCCATCTCCGTTGGTAATCAATTTTAACTGTCCATTTTAAGTGGGTCAGCGTGCTAAACTGGTTCGCCTAATCTGAGGATCTTGACCGTTGAGTCATTGGGTGCGGTTTGACCAGGCGAAATTCTAAAGAAGGGCAGATTAGACCCTTTAGCTTAGGTTCGAATATATTACAATCACTTTATTATACACTGGTATTTTAGGTCAAGCATTTCGCAGAATAACTATGATAGAAATCAATCGTTTGTTTGTTTATTTTTAGTTGCTAGGATGGTTGGTCACATAAGTTATTTCTGCTCTGCGAAACCTTCATAAATTCCTAATAATTACCTAACCCTAGCTGCATTCTCTATACTTTTTCGTTTTCCATTTCCTACTTTAAAAAACATTCATTTTCATCAGTCGGACGTGGGCAGCAGCCCAGATACAAAGAGCGGATTCGAAACCCAAATAATGAAATGCAATAAAACAAGAGTGCAGAAAAGCGAGTGAGCATGTGTGTACCATACATATAGTTAAATAGTTTGTCGCACGAGAACGAAATTGAAAGTTCAGCATGAAACATTTTGGAATAGAAACCGGGCAGGGGTTTAATTGAATTAAATCAAAAACAACTGCGATGCGACCCCTTCTGCTTGCTGGCAGCCACATATGTTTCGGCTTAGCTGGCTCTGCTGGCTTTGCTGGTCCGATTGAATTGAAGCACCCGCATCCGCATTTGGGGTTGCGATGGAACATCAGATTTCGGAAACTAGATCTCCGGATCGGTGGATCGAATGGTCACAGCAGTTGAGCCAGTTGCGCCGTGGCGAGCGCTTCGTTGGCGGCTCCCGAGCGAAAGGATCGTGACTCGGGAGTCCTTCTAATCGGTACAAATCGCGAAATCCGTGCATCATGGCGGTGCTTTGGTGGTTGCTCGTGGTACAAGTGGTGTTGGTTAAGCCACCCACTTACCACTCGGCCACGCCCCCTGGCAACGGTCAGTTGCGCCGCCTCTGGCTGCAGGATCATTGCAGCGCGGGAATCTGCACCAATGTGGTGATCGGTCGCAGTGACTATGTGATCTTGTCACAGGCACCCATTGCGGGCACCACAATGCTCACCTTTCTGAACTCGAGCATTGCGAAGATACCACACCTGCTCTTCGACACTTTTCCGGATCTGCAGGTGCTCCGCATGGAAAACTGCTCCCTGGAAACGTTCGAGAAACCGCAGTTCGAGGGGGCCAGCAATTTGATGGGCTTGTTTCTGGGACACAATCGCCTAAAGGAGATACCCAAGAATATATTTCTGGGCGCGGACAACCTGGCCACCCTGCATCTTGAGGGGAACCAGTTGAAACAGTTGGGCAACCATAGTTTCCATGCCCTCAAGGAGGTGAAGGAACTTTCTCTGGCGGAAAATCAATTGGAGCAGCTTGCGCTCGGAGTTTTCAGCGGTATGCGGAAACTAATGGATCTAAGTTTGGCTGGCAATCGCCTGGAGGCTCTCCCAAGAGGAATCTTTGACCGGAATTTAAACCTCACCAAATTGAGCCTCGCAAGAAATCGGTTTACCGCCTTCGAATCGGAGCTGTTGAGGCTGCAACCCGTTATGACTCAGCTGGACATTTCGGGGAATATCTTCCAAGAGCTAACACTCAACTTCAGTTCGCTGGAGGTGGCTATAGCGCACAGCTGCGATTTGAGGAGGCTAACCGTTTACGGAGTGGTTCACGAACTCGATTTGCGCAACAATTCGCTGAGGGAAATGCCGCATATTCCACAGGCCGCCAACGTGAGCAGCTTGGACTTATCGCACAATCCGCTGGGAAATCTTCAGGGAAATCCCCTGCGTAGATTCACATCGCTGCTGCGATTGAATATTTCGGCAACCGGAGCTCACGAGCTGCCGGAGGGATTGTTCAAGAAGCAGAGCCATTTGCAAATGCTGGATATTTCGGGAAATTCCATTTACTCCCTGAAGATCACAATATTCGACAGCTTGAAGGCGCTGCAGTATTTCTACTTCCAGCAGAACAACTGGAACTGCGATTTCCTGCAGCTTCTGATGAGTTCGTTTGTGAAGCGCAAGGATATATCCTTCATGGAGGACATCACAGCTCCCGAACTGGTGGACGACTATGTGGATGGCATTGCCTGTTGGTATGAGAGCGACAAGCAGTCGAAGAAGTGCGAATCTGGTGGATCGGAAGCGGCCATGGAACTCTCTGTGGTGCGAAACGAGATCAGGGCCTTCACTGAGGTGGTGGAGAAGAAGTTCGTGAAGGTCTATCGCATGTTGGAGGAGCTGAAAATGAAGCTATAACGGGAATCGGATCAAGGATCTTCCCATATTAATCAAACCATATTTAACCCCCATATTTAACCAACTATTTAACCAAATATGAAGTATTGTTAACCTACACTATAAGTTATTTGACACACGACAGCAAGGCTAAGGTATTTTAAGATGTTTTCTGGAACCAATAAAGCACTACTTGGAACTCTAGGGAAGATTAAGTGTTTCACTAAAGGACCAAAAGCTAAAATCACTCATGCATAAAATCTCACAATTTAATGTTTGCCTTTTAAAAGCCAGTTAAAGTGCACTCGTTTCTATTTTCATATCAAGTTTCGCTCTACCAAAAATATTTTCGTCGCACGTGTTTAAAATTCCTTTGTGCATAAACATAAAAACAGTTTATCAGGCGATAAATCCCGGGCTTCATGCACAGCTCAGAAATCACATTAAAAAAAAATTCGCTAACGCTCAATTTAATGCCATAAATATTTTATGCAAAACACGAGTGGGCCAGAAAAAATATTTATGCCACAACAAATTTTTTTATTAAATGAAACTTATCAGCGTAATCGCGTGCAGAGGAGACAGACACAGACGCACTTAAAAACCGACAAAACTTAATTAAATGCAAGCGCACAGGGACGCCCACAAATAAACACACGCCGATGGAGATTTTTTTTGGTTCAGACTGGCAGCGCGAACCGAACATCGCAATGATAATAATAAATACATTTTGTAAATACTTTTCCCTCGGACAATTTAAGAGTGTGCTCGGGTCTGTGGCAAATAAACAAACACAGCCGCACATGGGAATACCATTAAAATATGGCTTACAGTTGATTGGGCTGAAAAGTGTGGCTGGCAACTTTTTGCTAACTGCCACAGAAATCAAGTTGTGGGCTCATTTTTGTGGCCATGAATGTTGGCCAAAAAGTTGGCGGACAATGAGCCGATATCGTGGGGTTTATGATGGTTTATAGATGAAGTAACCTTTTTGGTATCGAATCTATTCCGTTTCGTGACCGGAAAAGGGAATTTCCAATAGGCATAATTTGCATTTTCCATGGTTTCCGGCTGCCATTTCGCCCTTTGCCCCCATCACAAAGCCGTTTCTATGCAAAAATCCTGGAAAAGCATAAAGTATGCAGCACATTTTAAAGCTGAAGCCATTAGGAGATAGTAGTAGTAGTAGTAGTATCAGCCCATATCTTTCTATATTGTGAGCTGTCTGCTCCTCTTTGTCGCTCTAAGAGTCTTACTACGCTTGTAAGCAACTTCCGTTTCCGTTATCCGACGCGTCGTTTGTTCTGCCATTGTTGCCATTGGTGCTGCTGCTGCTGCAGCTTCCTTTCATCTTGCTCCTGGATTGCGGCAGCGTTACTTTCCACTTAAAAAAACTACATTCAATTAGAAAATTCAAATGGAAACAATGGAATCAATCATAACAGTAATTTAATTTCGTTTCATTTATTCTAAATTAAATTGGTGGCCATTCAATACTTGTTTTACTTTCTTAGAACTTTTTATTCGGTTTTATTTCTCTCTGTGTAACGCCGTTAACGTGCCACCGTTGTGCAACATATGCAGTACAGTCTTGATGGCCCTCCACCTCGATTCGTTTGAGTCGGTCTTGTTTTGGGGCGCAAATGCTTTTTGGCCAAGTTTATGAAATTGTTGTTTGCAGCTTGTTGCTAATGTTGTTGCTGTTGCGATCCCGCAACTCATTAAGAAAACAAAAGCCGAGCACAAAAGTTGCTCGTTACCTAAGCGACGCCTCCATGGCCCCTCCACTTTGTTGTAATTAAGTTGACTTTATTACCCAACAATGTTGTACAAATGCATTTAGCCTTAGTTTTTAGTGCTTTCGAGGTTACCCGATGTAGCCTTAATCGAACTTTCAAGCCCTCCGAATATTCATTATTTTATGGCGTAATTTTCTTATTACCTTTATTATCCGGGGATGGCCAGCTGCTGGGCAAAAGTTTTCGTCAAACTTTGGATATTGGGTCAAGGTTCCTCGGGAGGAAATCAGATGGGTGTGGGAAACTTCCTACCGAATTTCCTGTCCATCATTCTTGCTCATCTTTTTTGCTCTCTTCGCTTTTCTATATGTCGCTGTTGGCCCACCTCATTTACTTAATTTCCTGGCTCTTCTCACGTTTCTTCACTCAAATTCCCTTTACGTGCCACAAGTGAATGCGTGCTTATTTGATTTGTTCAAGTGGCTGCCACAAAAAAGAGAGCAGATAAACATACGTGTGCTCTAGGGACTCGTTATATTTGCATGACTCACTCGCAATATAAGCTGCCAATTTTAGTCGGTGCGATAAGCCTGCAAATCATTCAATTGTTTTTTGCCATTAGCCGTAAACAATGCACACGCTCCAATGCAATTATGTTGGCAATTAGGCGTCGAGGCTAATTTTTATCAAATTTCTCGGTGTCGGCCCACACAAACACATTTATATGTCGGCGGATGGTCGGCGGCAGGCTCATAAATAAAGCTTAATGGCAAAAACAGTTGGTCAGCCTCCGGGCAGCGAAAAAGGGGGCATGGTCGGCCGCTTGGTGGGTGGCATTAAATTAAAAATGCGGAAGAAGGAAAGGAGGGAGTAAAAAATATGTTGCCTACTTTTGTGGGCTGTGCATAATTGGGCAGCATGAATAATATACGAGCGGGTATTCGCGTGTGCGTGTGTGTGCTTGTTTGTGTGTGTGCGTGAGTTGCTAGTTTGGCAAACGAGGCGTATGCACAACATGCGTTTGCATAAATTCACGCTTAATTAGCTCGCACTTCCTCACGCCTCTTTTATTCAGATTCACTCCTCCTGCAAGCGAAAAACGATGCCAAGCAAGTTGTAACGCTTCTAATTAGCGGTGGCCGAGAGGGCTTAAATTTAATTTACACAATATGTGCAAACATATGAATGAGAGATCTGCAAATACAGTCGCGGTCAAGATTTAGCACACCATTTATTGTACAACTAACTATTTATCTTATCATTATCTTTAAAACTTCCTTAATCAAAAATATATATTTTTTTTAACCACACATTTATAATTAGTGTTTGCTGTTCAAAAAATTTCCACCACTGTACCTTTGTTTGCGAATCAGGTTTTCGGCGGCTAATTGCAGAACCAAAAAATTTAATCCCCCTCAAATTCAATTTCATTTGCCATCCATTGTTCGTGTGTTGTTTGCGTTTTGCTGCCATTATTAACTGGCTTTTTGGCGCAATTAGGCTGCCACGCTACCTTCTCCTGCTCCACCCCAGCCCATCGGCACACCTGCTCGGCACGGCGTACGTGTCCTTAGCGCAGTTGCGTTTAATTTGCAGCAGCAGCAGGAAAGGCAGCAGGAAGACTGGAGCAACAGGAACAGCAAGTGGAAAGCGGAAAGTTGCCAAGTATTTGACTGCTAATGCACGCACGTTTTATCCTCGCCGGAGAACCAAGTGGTTTCCTGTTTGTGTCTGTGTGTGGGAGTATGGGAGTGTGTGTGTGTGTGTGCCCGTTGTGTTTTCCAACTTTTAACCAAATTGTTTAACTAAGTAGTAAAAGCGCATAAAAGCACGTAAGACAAATGTACGCAAAAAGGCAAAAAGAAACATAAATTCAGGAAGAAAGTAGTTAAAATGAGTGGGTACAAAATGAAAAGTTTTCGCAATGAATCATTATTTTTGCGTGATTATTTTACGGAACCCTTTTGGGGTTTTGTTTATGATGAAGAACAATTTACTTTGCTCTTCAAAAATCTGTATGCGTATTATGAGTGAATTTCCGATACATCCGTGAAGAACAGATTTCAAATTGACTGATTCATGCAAATAAACCCAGCAATTGAGCACTAAACAAGAAACGCAGGCACTCCGAGAGAAGTGACAGAGATTCTCGAATCCAAAGCAGCTATTTGAATCAGCATTTACCGATGCATTCAGATTCCCAGCTCTCGAACAACTACATTCTACTTTGGTCAGAACCGGAGGAGCATTTGTCATTGCAAATTGAATTCAGCAGATTGGGCGAGGAGAGGAGGGAGCTAACATGACAAATCATTTGCTTATTATTCCCAGGTCGCTACTGCCGTCTAAAGAGGGAAATGCGATGCACTCGACAGGGAAAATGGGGCTGGGGAAGTCCAGGGAAAACAGAGAAAAATCAGGAGCACGGAGGGAGATAAGATAATGGCTCGGTTCGATTTCAGATTTAGCAGGAACTTTGCTTAAAGCCACGTAACATGATATTGGCAGTTGACCAAGAGGTGGCTCTGTGGCGGGCGCCGCTGGAATCTCAGTTGCCAGTACATGCATTCCACTCCAGTGGACAATGTACCACCCCCCGGCATCCCGACATCCAAAACATCCCGACACCCACTGCATCCATCCGCTGCATTGAGCGTTACTCGCATGGAATGCGCAGCTGCACAATTTATAGGATATCTGGAGGGGATAGGTGGGGTGTTCTACCCGATAACAAGCTTACTCCGAATCCCCGGCCCGGCTCCTTCGATTGCGTATAAAATCTTATAAATTGCAAATTGAATTTAACGATAAACATCGTTGGGGGCAGCAGTACCAGTAGCCGAGAGCTGCAAATGGCATTGGGCATATTGGAGGGAATCGGTTCATTCTTGGCTTACTTGGCCCACTTTTGTTCGTCTGCCTTGTGCAGCAATTGATCCTGATTCGGATTGTCTTGTGCCGCTTGTGCAAATACACAAAACACTTAGGATATTGCAGTATTAGCCATTGAATTGATTTCGATTGCTATAAACCCTTTCGCTTGTCCATCTTAATATGCATTATGCAGAGAGCAAACAATATCCTTAATGTGCTTTCTATTATTTCAAACATCTCTCTAATTCATTATCTTTTCTTTCTCTTTGCAGGTAAATATATCTCTACCATAAGAAACACACAAGCGAAAATCCAGAATGGCGTAAGAAATGAACAACTATGTTTCCCATTCAATTATCATCTGTCTGCCAGACCTCATCATCTGGGGGCGTGTCTAGACTCTCTTAACTCATTTGCCACTCAAAGTGTGAGTGGGGAATTCCCCAGCTGCGAGTTATGTGCTCAACTTTTACAGCTCCCACATGTAACCTCCTCCTCCTCGCTCCTCTTTCGCTTTCACTTTGCAATTATGTAGCAGGAAGCACAGCTCACAGCCCAAACCCCGCAAAACTTGCTTCATAATTTATAAGTCACCC